GATTTAGTCAGTCATATTAGTTCTTATCAGTGTTTAAAAGAGGACGTGTTAAAACTCTGTTTAGTCAAAGTTAAACATGAAACATCAAAGTTCATAACAAGTGGCCCTTCGAGGGCCACCATAACGCTCACGTGGCCCTCGGTGAAAATGAGTTTGACACCCCTGGTTCACATACAGACACTCCCCTTCGACATCACTTCCTGGTACTTCACCTGCAAACATCTCAACAGTTCATCTCAGCAGTGTGAACTTTATTTTGCAATAATCAATGTTATCTTTCCAAAAATGTGTTCATATTTATTACAAAAATGTAGTGTCACAGGCACTTTCAGATCTTTGTCTTGAAATGAGACCTGCGTGTTGTCACACTTTTCTCAAAAAAAAAAAAAACCTTCCGTTTTAATAAAATAGTTGAGAAATTACACAAAAAAAAAAAAAACAGAGCTGCTCCCAAATCACTTGGGACATTGAACAGATTGTGCTCGAACAGTTACCAGATTCCACACTGGGCTTTGTTGCCGTAGTTTTGTATCTGTTTCATGCACAGCTTCTATAGATTTCTATTTCAAGATCTTTATCAAGGAAAAGAATACATATAAAAACTGTCAACTTGGATAGGTGCTAATGCGTGTGATCACATTAATCATCTGACAGAATCTCACTTTCGGCAGTTAGTCCATTATGATTCACACTGATGTGAGGTCTCGGTGTCAGGTGTCATAATTTAATTGCTTTGTTTTCTATTTCTCATGGATTGGAGAGGGAGAGCCAGGCAGAGTAATACAGCAGAGTCCACCTCTGATCCCTCCACCCTTCGCCCACACCCCCCACTCTTCTCCTTTTCTTTCTCTTAATTGGAGACACTGGGGGCTCACATCACTTTTCACTTTAATCTTGACCTTAGAAGATAAACCACTGATAAAGATGAGAATCATTACCCGCCCAGAGAATTCAGGCAATAATTTCCCCGGCTCATGTTCTATTCATTAATGGGGAAAGGGCTTTTGTACTGGAGGATATCTTGAATTTGCAGACATGCTTTAAAGTCTGTGTCTGAACAGGCTGTTGTCAAAAGCTGTGTGCTGTCTTCTCAATTAATATTCAAAAGGGTGCTATTAAAAAAAAAACGATACTTCCAAATTGCATTTGCCAAATAATTTGACTTCTAAACACCTGTTTGGAATATCAGCACGTCTCACTGCCGAAGCAACCATGAAAATCTGAGGAGAGATTGAAGCAGAGCCACATGGGGACTCCATCTGATGTCTCTGTCAAATTAGATTTTCAGTAACTCAGCAGAACGAAAACAACTATTTTTATAAAAGTTTAAAAGAAAGACTTCCTCTTGTGCGTTTTAACACTTGAAAGAGCCCTGTGTTCTGTGGAAAAATAACAGATAAACCTTAACCTTTAACTAACRGACCGCTTGGTCTCTGCTGCTAAATGTTTGCTGTTAGTTTTAGATCTCAAAGACGACAAACAATGACATGAATTCAGACAAAAGCGCCTCTTCTGTGACAGTCCTCCTGTCAGTAGAAACGATGTCTATTTAATTTATTTTATCATTTGTAAGTATCCAGCCAATTAAGCTTACACGACTTCGTGAGTTGGTTGAAAACGCCGCCCGGGTGTGACTTCTCAAATCGTCCATTCAGACTCGTTTGAAATGAGAGGAAGGTCTCAAATGTGCACTTGATGGCATCATGCATGATGTGCTGCCAGAAGACTGGAAGTAAAACTACATGTCGCTTCACCGGTTGATGYCCCGTGTAGAAGGAAGAAAAAGGGACAGATTTATGTTTGGTTTGCAGTTTAGAGCTTGTTTGTATTAAATGGTAAATGGACTGTACTTATGTAGTTTATTTCTGGCCAACCAGGCTGCTGCCCGGTGCACCTCACAACACTGTCTGTGCCCTCGTTTACCATCCACACAGCTTTTTTACACAGCTAATTTGAATAAATCAATCTATAGAGACTAATCACTGCTTTAGATCACATTCACACACTGATGGTGCACATCAGAAGTGATGAGAGGTTCAGAGTTTTGACATGTGAGACAAGTGGCGGGATTGAACCTCCAACTCTCTCATTAGACAATGACTGCTTTAAAGGGCCAATATTATGTTTCTCAGGCATACATTTAAATACTATACCATAATAAAGTATCTATGTCACCTTTAGCTGTTATTAAAATGTTGTTTTTATGTTTAAATAGAAAATAAACTCATCTTCTCATCACTTCCTCTTCTAGACGCCTTGAAATTGGCCTCTGTCTCTTTAAGAACCACCTTCTGCTTCCGTTTTGCCCATTTTGGTGCGGGGGAGGGGTTTCATGCTCGCGAGGGGGACGGGGGTTGCTATGATGCAGTTTACTTGGCATCTGAAATAGCATTTCCTCAAATGTATTTTTAATCTGAAAAGAGCTTCACTGAGTGAGAAGTAGTGTTGAGAGCTCAGCAGACAGTTAATAGGTTTCACTTTCACTTTTGCTCTGTTACTGCCGAGAGCCTGCAGGAGTCATGGGCGGGGTGTGTTGGGTGGGGAGGTGTGCTCCGTGATGAGGAAGTTCGGCTTAAAGACACGTCCCGGGGGCGTTCCTGGTCCCCACCTGTCGTTTTGCTCCTCAGCATGGCTTCCTAAAAACGCTGCAGGATTTCTCAAACATGCATGAATGAGTCAAAGCAAGGCTTTGGGTATGTTTTTATGAGAGTATAACATCATAACATGATATAAAACTCAAAAAAGTTTATTTTACATGTTATTGCCCCTTTAATTACTGATCTATAGTCTCTCTATACAGTATCTATAATCTATTTAATGTCACTTTGGTCACATGATCAGCTTGTTTCTCTTTGATCCACTTTTACCTGTTTAAAATATATATATTTTTTATTCTCACCCTCTGCTGAAGGTGAAGGCAGAGAAAATACGTTCTTGCACATCTCTGTGTGTTTCTCTACTGTTAGCAAAATATCTCATGAATCAGTTTGATTCATGCCCACCACTGTAAACACAAACGTACCTGTAACTCAGCCAATTCTTGCAGAAATGCAGGTAAAGTTCTGTCCCCAAAACTGGTTGTGTCTCAATTCAGGGGTTGCAGCCCACATAGACTGTAACCCACGTGGACCACACCCTATGTGGGCCGCAGGCCGTCCGTGTAGGCTGCATAAAACAGCTGTGAATTGAGGCAGTCCAGTTGTTGGGTGACATGTATTTACTTGACCACCAGCTGCCCAGTGTTACATTTTACATTGCACACATTCAATTGTTTTTATGGCATGACTTCAAATTTCATTATTATTAAATAAAACTTTTAAAAAACTCTTATTTTATTAATTAAAAATAGTTACATGTAAATAAAAAGCATTATTAATTTGGATTTAGCAGTAGTATCAGTACTTCTAATGCATTTTATTTATCATCTCATTGCATCAAAAATCTCAGCAACTTTGCTAAAAACAAGTTATTCCATCTGTGATAAAATTCCAAACTTCCGCCACAAAAATATTAAAATCATCTGAAACAGTTTTGCACTTACAATCCATCGCATCCAATCATTCCTTCAGGACCTTCACCAAAACGATCCATTCCTCCTTCATTCCTCGGATGTTTCCTAAAAGCATCTTCAGACTGAATTTGGACTTCCAGTCACGTTTTTTAAATTATTTATTTAATATTATTTTTCTGATTGAAAGAAAAACTTGCATCACACTGCAGGTGCCGCGGRTCGCCTTCCATCAAGGACAGAGTCACCTTCCTCTGGAGGAGAACAGAGTCCTCGGAGAGGAACCGCTGCTTGTGAGTCTGCTGCGAGAACTGGGTCAGCTCACCTCTTTGCTGGAAGTTAAACTATTATTTCCTTAATGTCGTCTCCCTCCCAGTGTGTGACTTTGCCTCTGACTCTCTTGTTCGGTGTGTTCTCGGCCCGTGCTTGACAGATTTACCACATTCACGTTTACTTTTGAAACACCGCTATATTGCATTGTTGAAGTTCAGATTTTTCTGCAGAATATTTTTTTCCTTGAACTGAATAATTAATAAAAAACAAGTCATTTTGGTGAAACCTTAAAAATAGTATCTTAACTATTCTAATATAAGTCACGTTTTGTTACCATGTTAGTGTGTGTTACTGTGAATGACTGTCAGCTAAATTTTAGTTCAGTATGTATAAAATGCATTATCATTTTTGTGTACATTAAGGTTGATTAGCTGAGGCAGCCATCTTGAATTGGATTGACTCCAAAACGATTCATTATAGACGTCCATCCAATGAATATTTAGAAATTTAGAGCCTAAGTTTATGCTGTATATTTAATTCAGAAGCACACATTTCTTCCAAACTGCCCATACATGCAGCTTACAGAGACATAGATGGGCCTTTAATTGTCTCCCCTTTTCTAATCACTTGTTTTGAAAGCCCTGTTTGCTCATTGATAGCAGAGCACTGAATGTTGTGTCTTAAACGTTCGCTCCTCAGGTCTTCCTCAAACTGTCAATAATGTGTCGAGGAGGAGGGAAACCAGGAGCGTCCTCCTCGCTGCTGATGGATACGCTCACACCTCAGAGAAGTAAACAGCATCGATTCCYTCCCACTATCACCTCTAACTCGCTCCCAGCCTCCATCCAATAAGCTCCTTTATGACTAATCACACCCATTTACAGGACTGATACAAGGCAATTTTTTTTATTTATTTCCAGGAGCGAGCCTCAAGCTGTCAGGCCCACTGTGTCAGTATTGAAATGTTTCAGGCTGTCACATCTCGCTACTTCCTTTGCTCTAATGTGATCGATCTGAGCAGCCTCAGAGCCGTTTCTCTATACCGAGCACTTTTACTGTAACATTTCAGGCCCAGTTGACCCCCCTCCCCCCCAACACCCAAGGCCATTAAATTGGGGAGAAGAAGAAAAAACTAAACCTCAAGTGGATTTCTGAGGAAGGTCCGTCCCCGAGCTAACAGGCACATTAATGACAGGAATTGTACGCGTCAGTACCACCGGAGAGCCAAAGGATTAAATAATGTGCATGTAATAGTCAGATCTGAGGTCCTGGCCTTGATGTGCAGAGAACATGTGCAGAACTACTCTAATGGTGAAAAGGAAAGAAACCGTTCTGAGACTTCTGCCTCTGCAGACAGGTCAGGGGATATTTTATTTTTTTATTTTTCTTTTCATGGAAACCATCTTTAATTGCAATTTTAAAAAATCTATCTACTTAAAACACATTTTTTTAAAGCTGGAAAGAGTTTGGTTGAAATCAGTTAAGGATAATAAAGAATACAGTCTTTTTTCATGGTGAGGTTTTTGACCATGCACGGACTTTTGCTGAAAAAAATAATATGTTTAAAGGCTTGGCATTTCTTGAAGGGATGCACATTGCCAAAACACTTTTTTTGGTTAGAGTTGTAGAATAACATTTCTTGTAACCATTTTGGGTATAAATTAATGTTATGCTCAATCTAATGCAATATTTTTTAATTAGTTGTAGGGAATACTCTCTGCTATCACCACATCAAATTTTAGCCCAATATCTGTAAAACTGACTTAGTTAGAAACATTTTTTGTGCTGGTATGTGTCAATTAGCTGTTTCAACAAAATTAAACAGGACTTAATTCAAAACCTAATCAGTTGCAAGTGAACAAGAAATGATTATTTCCTGAAAGTTTTATTTAAATGCATGTAATGTTTCATGAGATATTTTGCTAACAGACATAGTTGACTTCAAATAGTTAATGGCAAATTTTTAAGCAAAGAATTTGCACAGTTTGTTAGCCTTCACATTGTACTTGGTAACTGTTGCAACTAAAACCATCCCAAATATCAGATCGCTATCTATAAATTTAACTAGAGAAATTGAATTTCCTGTGAAAATATGCTAGTGTGGATGCTTCTTGCTGAAATCATGAGCTGAAAGTTTAAGTTTAATGCAAGTTCATTTGAAACATGAAGGAAGCATAAAAAGCTCAAACTAGCAGAAAAAAGCTCAAAAGCCGATAAAGCAGAAAAATAGCTAAAATTAGCATAATGAAAAACTAAAGGTAGCAAACACAATCTAAAATTAGCTTACAGATGGTGAACGTGGAGTAAAAAAGCAAAATTTGCAGAAAAAATGAATGAAAGACCAAAAAAGTTGCAATTTGTTTCAAAACAGCTGAAATGTGCATCAAAACGGCTAAAACGTAGCTGAAAATGATTAATTTAGTATAAAGAAGCAGAAGGAACATGTGTTTGCAGAACTTAGCAGAAAGAAGCTGAAATGGTACCAAAATGTGAATGTGGCATAAAAACTAATTTTAGCTCATAACAGCCGAACAGTAGCTACATTTGCAACAAAAAGCTGAAATAAACAGAACACAACCCAAAAAAAAGCACAAAAAACTCAAATTATCAAAGAGAAGTTGAAAGCACAAAAAAGCGTTTTACACAGTTGATCATTATACTCTCTTACAAAAGTTGATTTCTTTTCAACTTTCATCTTCTGCAATTAAAATGTTTTCCTCTTATTTGACTGATAGGTGTCAGGTTGTGAAACATGGAAGCTCTSTGTCCGGGTCTCTGCCCTGTTCCGTGGGAGTTCCGCAGGGTAGCATACTGGGCCCATTGCTTTTCCTATTATACATAAATGACCTTCCAAAAATATTGAAGTATTCAAATATTTTAATGTATGCTGATGATACTGTTCTTTTTTTGTCTGATTTCCATATTGAATCTATTAATAGTCCGTTACAAGCAGATCTTCAGACATTTCATGGTTGGCTTCAAGATAATCTTTTGTCAATTAATGTTAAAAAAAAACTGTGTACATGTATTTTTCCTCACCCAGGAGACGTTTCAATATAGCAAATCAACTCACTTTTTTGAACAAACCCCTTGATATTGTCACTACCTACAAATATCTTGGAATTACTTTGGATTCTCATTTGACTTCTCGTGATAATGTACYTCTTAACCACTAAGTTGAAACAGATTTTGTACGTTTATTCAAAAATTAGATCCAATCTGACATCTTCTGTTTCAAATATCTATCTTCATGCCATTATACTCTCAACCATGTCGTACTGTTTACCTGTTTGGTCTCTTACAACAAATGAAATCTTAGAACCCATAGTTAGGCTCTACAACAGGGCCTACAAAATTCATAAAAAACTTCCTGGTTGGACTCATCACTGTACAGTTCTTTCGTTGTCTGATGCCTTGATTTTTCAGAATTATGTTTTGTATAGTGGTATTAATTTATATTTTCAGATCTTCCAAGGTGCCAATTATGGAACTCTCTGTGCATTGTTGCCCAAATCAAATTCCGGAAGTGGTCATTCAACTAGATCTGTTACAAAAGGACAACTGATATTACCAACTTTTAAAAAACTGTTACGGCCAGAGGTCTTTCTTCTATGTTTATACTAAAGCATGGAATGACATTCCTCAAAACATAAAGTCCATTTAAAAAAATACAGCCCTTTAAGAAGAATCTTGTCTGCCATCTGCTGGACACTTTTTGTTGTGCTCATATTTAGACGTCCTATTTTYCAAATGCTGCCTTTTTGAAATTTGGTATGCTTGTTTGTCTTTGTGTCTATYGTGTAATAATAATGATGTGATTGTGATGCTGTAATTCTGAGTGTTTTATGTGCTGCAGAACAGAAACCTGCTGTAAAACAGCAATTTTGCTGAGTCAGGCTTGATTTTTAATAATCTTTTCCTGTTAAATAAGAAAGCACAATCTATGGGAGTAGAATTCTACCAAGAAATAGCAGAAAAAGGCTAAAGATAACGAAAAAGAAGCTAAATATAGCACAAGAAYGTAAAAAACAGCTGAACTATAAAAAACTGTGTAAAACACAATAAAGATTTATAAACATTTTGAGGGGTTTTATGGATGTTGAAAATGGCTCCGTTCTTTTTCAATGTGGCTGAAAAAGTGAAATAACTAAAGTATAAAAAGCTGAAGTACCAAAAGTCATAGCCAGAATGTGTTGAAGGAGATGAACATTTTGATAGAGAAATTGTTGAAATAACACAAAAATTGTGGAATGAGATATTGTGAAGCATTCACACAATTAAAGCCATTTATGGCGAGTTGAAAGCCATCATTTTACTGACTCCAAATAATATTTAGTTGTAGACGTACCATTTCTTACTTTTTGCAAGTTTTATTAAAATCAATTCAGTGGTTCATGAGATATTTTGCTAACAAACACACTCAAGAAAAAAACATTATCACATGCTTTACGCAGTAAATATTGGAACAGATYAAGAATGCTGGTGTTTGCTTTCTGCCCTTTTTGTTTCTACGTGTTGTAAACAAAAAAACAAAACCCATGGATTCAATTCAAATTCTCACTTTCATCTTGTTTTTACACCCGGTAATGCAGACTGGGGGGGATCACATAATGTGGCATCAGCCCCAGTGGTGGAAGCAGAAGGCCCATGGGGGCATTTTAGCCAGTTTTAGGACTTAAGAGAAAAAAAAATACTGATGCACACAAATAAATGTGACCATGTGTTGCTTTAACATCTGAGAACACTATTTAACTCATCCCATCTCAGGAAGTTTTCGCACTTCACACTTCATTAACCTCCGGGTGCCACAGATTCCCTGGGAAGTCAAGCAGGGGAGACAAGCTCGTCGTTTTCATAGAAATCACCACCAGGGTGGTAATCTCCCAGCGACAACATTTACATGCAGACAGTCCACCAGATAATAAGTGATATTGTGTCCGGGGCGTGATTCAGCATGCCTCTCATTGCACACTTTCATGTCTCCATCACAAAATTCCATGAACGCTCACATAAACAAATGCATTCATTTGAATGCTGCTGCCAAACATGAGCTTCCACTAATCGGCACAAAAAAAACTGCGATGAAGCAAAGTTTATTTGTCTCAGCAGCGCCGATTGATTTAACTATCACCACCTACCAGCAGTCCAACATGGAAGACCGTTAAACCCACTTTATTTTGTGTTTATTGGTTCGAGCTTTTCTCTCTCTCTCGTTCTTTCTGAGAATGTGACAGTGAATACGATTAGGTTAGAAAGATGCATGTGGGAACATAAAAATCTACATGATTAAAGCTCTATATCAGAAACATGTGTTTATAAGAAATATCCTCAGAACCGAAGATATCTGTGTTCATTGTTCTCTGTGCAAGAGTAAAATTAATGTGTTGTGTTTGTTGGTGCACAAAAAAGTGAAATAAATATAAAAGCTGTGTAGACGTGTGGATAAATGATCTCTGAAGATTGAGTTGTTTTATCATTTTTTTATTTTCTCTTGTTCTTTTTATTTAGTTTTTCATCCAAACCCGTGTAAAGGTGTCCGGAACATGTTGGAACTGGAGCTTGTTAACCTCTGCATCAAATCCCAGTTGGGAACCCCAACAGTGTTACTTTGAAACACTTCCATCCAAACCTTTTTTTATTATTTTCTTCCAGCTGTAATCAATATGATGTTTTCTCAGAATGTGTGCATATCTGCTACCAGTCCTGGGACTTTTTTTTGTTGTCAATTTCATCTTCCTTAGTTCCTGCCTTAGATGCTGCTTCTGGAACCMTTGGGACACCTTTGGGTGGATATTGAACAAAAACCGAGCTTGACCCTCCCAACAGCGGAGAATGTTCCCCCCTCATGGTTACTTTGCTTTTGCGGCACATGTTGTCTGGTTCTGTTATTGATCCAACAAACAAAAACAAAATAAAAAAAGATCCAGTSAAACGATGAAACTCCAAGATTTCGGAAACAGACCTTGTGACACAGCGGTGGTTTCAGCTTGGGAAAACAAAAGGCAAAAAGAAAATCACTTGTCTCTTATTACTGAATGTGTGTGCTAGATTTTCAGATTTATTTATAAAACAAAACACTGTAACCCTTTATAATAACTACCCATTACCTAGCCTTACTTAATCATTAATAAAGGGTTAGTTAACCTTAAAAAATGTCATTAGTTAAGGATGATTCAGAATTAATAGGATATAAATTAACACATTATTTTATGCTTTATCCATAAAGGCTAAATACTTCCAAAACCAACATATTCATTGTTTACTCATGTGTAATAACTCATGAATTAACTATTCTTTGTATTGTGTGTAGGGCTGCCACAAACGATTATTTTAATAATCGATTAATCACTGATTACTTATTCGATTAGTCAACTAATCGGATCATACGTTAATTGAATATAAAACGTACAGCTTATGACGTCCGAATGCAGCTGCTATTATATAACCATMGTTAGATTTTAGCTATATGCTAACTAAAAATAATTGCTGTGGAAGGCAAGTTCTGCTCTGCAGATATTGCACAGGTTTCTCTTTCATTTTCTTAAAATGATCCCACACTTTTGAGCTCTCTTGTCAGGTAGCCATGATACCAGAGCCTGTCTGTATAATGTCTTGTGACGTCCACGGCCTACCCCAGTTACCACTACTGTGCATGTGTGTCAAGGACAAAAAGGCAGATGTGGCAGTGGAATGTGTCAAAGCAGTTTGGAGAGAAAAACAAAGAACAAAAAAAAAGAAAACGATTAATCGATTATTAAATTAATCATCGATTATTTTAATAATCGATTAGTTGTCGATTAATCGTGGCAGCCCTAATTGTGTGTATATATATTTATATGTAAATGTTCAGATAAATGAGTTAGATATGTATTAATGTTTAGAGAATGTTTGAATTGATTATGATTTCAGTCTGATTTCTACAGTTGGAAAAGAACTTGTGGCCCTTCGAGGTTTTGTCTACATTAACAAACGTATTTTAAAAAAACATGAATATGATTCACCTTTGAAGGGTTCGCGAAAAAAATACTGCTTTAATTATTGACGCACTGCAGGACAGTCAGTTCGAATGTTGTCTATCTATTTGTACATGTCTAACTCACGGTGTGAAAGTACATTTACAGGGGTTAGACAATGAAACTGGAACACCTGTCATTTTAGTGTGCGAGGTTTCACAGTTATCTTCATTAATTGCACATTGCACCAGTAAGAGCAGAGTGTAAAGGTTCAATRAGCAGGGTAAGAGCACAGTTTGGCTCAAAATACTGCAATGCACACAACATTATGGGTGCCACACCAGAGTTCAAAAGAGGACAAATTGTTGGTGCACGTC